TATTTACAACTTAAAAACATAATCGATTTTGTTGAAGTATTTCATCAAATATCTTGTGCGCACCAAACAAATTCATAGTTTAATAGCGCATTTTAGGACTCTTGTTCACAGTTTAAAAAAATAGTTTATGACTCTCTTTCATAGTATTCACAACTTAAAAATATATTAATTCATTAATTTATAATTAAAACTTATTTTAACAAAACTAAACAAATATTTGAAACATTAAAACATCACAAATCACAACTTAAAAAATTAAATTCATATTCCTTGAGAAAAAACTAACATAATAACACATATTTTATATTCAATTCACACTTACATTTCAAGACTTTAATTCACAATTTAATAGAGTAGTTTAGGTATGTCATTAACGATATTTACAACTTAAAAACATAATCGATTTTGTTGAAGTATTTCATCAAATATCTTGTATGCACCAAACAAATTCACAGTTTAATAGCGCATTTTAGGACTCTTGTTCACAGTTTAAAAAATAGTTTATGACTCTCTTTCATAGTATTCACAACTTAAAAATATATTAATTCACTCATTTATAATTAAAACTTATTTTAACAAAACTAAAAAATATTTGAAACATTAAAACATCACAAATCACAACTTAAAAATTTAAATTTATACTCCTTGAGAAAAAACGAACATAATAACACATATTTTTTATTCAATTCACACTTACATTTCAAGACTTTAATTCACAATTTAATAAAGTAGCTTAGGTATGTCATTAACGATATTTACAACTTAAAAACTTAATCGATTTTGTTGAAGTATTTCATCAAATATCTTGTGCGCACCAAACAAATTCACAGTTTAATAGTGCATTTTAGGACTTTTGTTCACAGTTTAATAGTGCATTTTAGGACTCTCTTTCATAGTATTCACAACTTAAAAATATATTAATTCACTCATTTATAATTAAAACTTATTTTAACAAAACTAAACAATATTTGAAACATTAAAACATCACAAATCACAACTTAAAAAATTAAATTCATATTCCTTGAGAAAAAACTAACATAATAACACATATTTTATATTCAATTCATAACATAACAACCATAAAAGATAAACTTTGAAGAACAATGTTATGCAAATATTATAACAATTAATAAAACAAACTTGGATTTACAACTTAATAGCAGTTAAAACTAAGATTAAAAAAACAAACAATAAATGAGAGATTAAAATACTAAATTCAACTTAACAAAAGAAAAAACGGTCAAAATAAAAATATATTTTTTTTATCACAAAGATTAAAGACATAGCAAGACTTTTTGATAAAAGACTTATATTAGAATATAATGATATATTATAACATAGACTTTTAGATAAAAGACTTATATTATAATATAATGATATATTATAACATAAACGTTGAATAACATTTTATACAAATATTATAATAAATAATAAAACAAACTTAGATTCACAACTTAATAGCAGTTAAAACTAATATTAAAAAAACAAACAATGAATAAGAGCTTATAATACTAAATTCACAACTTAACAAAAGAAAAAACGATCAAATTAAAATTACGTTTTTTATCACAAAAATTAAAGACATAGCAAAACTTTTAGAATAAAATGTTTATATTATAATATAGTAATATATTCTTAAAAAAATCAAACTCAAAACGTATTCATTAAAGGCTATATATAATTTCATGGTTAAATTCCATATAATCAGTCTCATATTAAAAGTATTAAAAATTTCATCTTCTATACATATTAATATGAAATTGATAAATTAAATTGTGTAGTATTTAAAAGGTATTTGTGTTTATTATTAATATTTCCAAAATCTTTCATTTGTGGATAGTTTATGAACAGTTAATAACAATTTCTATTAATGGCTATTCTATTTGATATGTTAATTCACAACTTAAATATAAATATGTTAGACCACTCAATACCAAAAATAAACATTTCATTAAACTATAAACTTAAAACAAGTGAAACCCCAAAAATATGAATGTACAAACTATTAAGTTCATAAATCATTTAAAATATTTCATACATAAATGCTTCGTAACAAAAGTAATATACAAACCATTAAGATGCATCGAATATATTTATTTGGCGTGTTTTAAATTAACTCCCACGTGTGAAACTGTTGAAGCATTAGGTTTTTTGAATAAATATCAGTAATAGACTAACGCCGCCTCTAATCTCTTTTTCGGCGATTATTTGCCGGCATTTCACTATTAAAACTGCTTTATGCATTAAACATTACGACATACTTTGATGAGTTTTAATATAATGTATATGCAACTCGTAGTAATCAAACTATTTCCTATCACAAAATCAGTTGGTGGTCGGAGACGAAACAAATGTGGAGGAATAGAAGACGTACCCGATCTGGATGGAGACGGTTGTGGTGGATCCTCACCGTTAACTGAAGCTAGTAGATCTGGCCTAGTCGTTCACTGAAGATTGTCAATATGAACTCGTCGGTCGTCAAAACTTGTGGTTCCGACATTTTGTGCGTCAAACTACTATAGATCTGGTTCCACCGGCCATTGGTAGAAGGCGATGTCCATCATATCTGACCAAAAAACATCATATCGGTGGTGGTTGTTCATAGTGGAAGCGGTAGTGATGGTTCACGACAGATCTGGAGGAGATGAGTGGCGGCGATAGTTTATTCTTCAAAATATGATGGCAGAGACTGGCGACGAACCACATCTAAATGAACTTAGAGATTTTTGTGGATCTTCATCGGACCATATCTGAAGCAACAAAGGTCATTTGTTGGTGTCTGAGAACGGTGTTTTACGGGAAGAGAGAAAGCAACAAAAATGAAGCAGACCCACCCCAAAATCCATTTTTTCCCCATTTCTTCCCCCCTTCTTCTCCAATCCTATCCTATTTTCATCTTCATTTTTGGAGATATGAATAGTATTCCCCGCCGTTCTTCTCCAACCCTATCTTATTTTCATCTCCATTTTTGGAGATATAAATAGTATTCCTCCGGGCATACTATTCATATATCTAAAAATAGAGGTGAAGTTTGGTTGCTAATTTTAGTCCATCACATTTTTATTTTATACATTTCTAATTTATTTTATCTACTAATTAGAATTTAAATGCAATATTTAATACTTATGATATCATGTTATATACTAATTTATTTTAAGTTAAAATATAATATATTTGTAAATGCAATATTTACAATATACATATTCTAAAAAATAATTTTAAAATGCAAAATAAATGGAAAAATCCAAAAATTCTTTTTTTAAATATTATTTTCGGAACTTGAATTAACTAAAAAAAATAAAAAAATGCGTCTCACGATCTTACAAAATTAGGCCGTCTCACATGAACCTAACCCTCTATATATATATATATATATATATATATATATATATATATATATATATATATATATATATATTGGGAAACTTAATCCTTGATTTTTTTTAATATAGGAGATACAAAGGATCAACTGCTTGGAATGTTTAAATAAAATTTTAAAAAGAATTGAATCAGATATCCCTAAATTAATGGGATTAAACCGATGAAGGATATCAATGACAAGTAAATATGAGTAAGATTGTGTAGTAATTTTAGTATAGATAAATATGGGTAATTAATAGCATTATATTTACCTAATTTAAAGGGAGTCATTTAAATGTTTGTACAGGTCAAATGCAAAAAATCAGGAAGATATGCAAATCACGAATTTAAAGGGTATGCATGGGCATTTTGGGAAGTTGATTTATAAATATTGGGCGGGAAAAGAAGCTGATAGCATAATAGCGAGTTTGGCATGCGGATATGTTGTTTATGGAAAACACGCAATAAAAGGGTTTTTAATCAAAGCTAAAACATCCCCAACGATACAATCAACATTCAATGGTGTATCTCTGGTTAAAGTGTAGGGGTTCATAAGGTGATTGCCGATAACATACAATCAACCATAATTGCCTTCGATGGCGGTATAATTTAATTTCGGAGGTACGTCTCTGTCAATCCCTAATTTTTCGTCGTCATCCATGCATTAATTATCAACTTCCTCTTGTTCGAGTTTCATCGACGTTATCATTTTACGTTTTTTAATCGTTATTGCATCTTAGTTGATCATAGGTTATAGAGCTTTTTGTCTGATAGGTGATAGGTATTTAATGTTGTTTGTGAGTAATCAAAATAATTCTTATCAAGTTTTTTAAATGACGTATTTGGCATGATTGTTAGTTTTTTTAATGTTAATCTATATATACGACCTGTTAATTGATGATCCCACTCTTAACCAAATCAGATGGAATTGGGGCTTTTGGTTTAACCCATTTCATTATTCATATGTTTTATAGTATTTAGTTTTCTCATATGAACATACATTTTTATACATGTTCTTGTGGTCTTTTAGTTACTTCTTTTGGGCATTTATACACTTGTATTATAAGTGAAAAATTGGGTTCTCAGTGTAGGATGTAGAATTATATCATGACCTCTTTGGATTCTTAATTTCACTAGCAGAATAGGAATAAAGCATGTCTTTGTTAGAATAAGAATCATACACTTATCAGCTAGCTAAAAGAATTATGAAATTTGCAAATCGCCTTGATACATTTACAAAAGTGGCATAAATATTCAAGATGTTATCTGATGAATTGATGTTGGAAAATAAAAATGTATGAGATGTCTCATGTCTGAGGGAGGCCATGAGATCATAAGACCAACCTTGGAGTAACTTATAAGCAGCACTATCTGATACATTATTGATGTTATGTCTTAATCTGTGTTCCATATAGTATTTAGTTGGCTTTGTTTGCATTAGGACTCAACATATATATAAGAAGTACTCTTATCTATTAACGATTTAACTTTTACATTATGAAGTGCAGATTATCATTTGCTATGGGAATGTGATCTGTGGACTCAAAAGAGAAGGAATGATGGTTATCTGGCTATCAGAAGCACAAGAAAACTAGGATTGAGTGTATAAGTGCTTGACAGGATTGTGTGAATAACAGAGAATGGAATTTGATCACAATAATGTTAGGTGGGTTGTAGAACAAGACAGATTGAGCAGATTGCCAGATGAGCTTCTTCATAAGATCTTGTCTTGTTTTGACATGAAATTTGTTGTTGAAACATGTTTGTTGTCATCAAGATGGAAGCTTCTGTGGACATCAATGCCCTTTCTCAACTTCTCAAGCTCTCATTTTGGGTCTTTACTTAGGTTTGCTGAATTCATGACTCATGTTTTGTTTCATCGCGATCATCAAAGAGAAGTGTCTTTGTTAAAGCTACATTTCCAAGGAGCAGCTAATGACTTTTTTGTGAGAAAGATTGCAGATTATGTGTCCTCTCACAATGTCCAACAACTAACTATCTGGCTCACACACCACCTCCCAAATAACCCTCCTTTCATGTTTACCTCTAAGTCACTCAAACATTTCACACTGACTAGCATTGTGATCGGAGCTTGCAATATTACACCCAAAACACATTGGGATTTTCCAGCTTTAACAACTTTGCATCTCAGTGGCATCGTATTGAGTGGTGATGTTTTCTCCAAGTGTGTAAACTTAAAGCACCTCACTCTAGAATCTTTTGTTATTAATGCGGATGTGGAGGAATTTGACATCATTACCCCTCAGCTTTCTAATCTCATGCTTATCGGTGGCAAATGTAGTTCAAAAGTCATCAATCTGATTGCACCTCAACTTGAGAATCTCACAATATATCATTGCATCATCAAGCTCTTGAATGCTCCAGCAGGAGTTTCATCTTTGTGCTACATGGGTTTTCCACATCCACAATTGTTCAAAGATTGTTTCACTTCTCTAAATGAAGTGAGTATATGTTGGTTAAAAATGCCATACAAGAAGGAAGATGCTCTCAAAACTATTCACATGCTTCAGAAGCTCCATAGTGCCAGATATGTTACACTTGATGCTTACACTGTTGAGGTATGGTGATATTATTATATATATGCTCTCTATGAAAAAATATATACAATCTATAATGTATATATATTTATTTTTGTTTTTTGTGCAGTGTATTTCATCATTTCCGGATTTATTATTGCACAATTCTTCACCTTTTACCAACTTGATTTGCTTGACTATAGACTCCAGCATGCATGTGGATCCCTACAAAGTAAAAATGTCTATTGAAGCTAGAAACTTCTTGCTTGAGAACTCCCCAAATGCCACTTTAGTCATGAAATTACCCAAGGAAATTTTATCCCAAAGGTATTAATTTTCATAATAGCGCTTTTATATATTATATCTTTTAGTAGTGGGTTCAGTCGGAACACGTTTATATTTTTGCAACTACATTTGTCTTCAGTTCTTAATGTTCTCTTTCTTCTCAGAATTAAAACTTTAACACATCATATCATTAACTTTTCAGGGCTGCTAATTATTGGCCAATATGAAGATGTTTGACCCCATTGGATTCATGCAAATTTTTGTGAATTTGGAATTGAATTTTGTTTAATTTTATTGAATCTTACTTTTTTTGACTTCTGTTATTGATTACTATATATACCTTGTTCAACATTTTGGAAGATACAACCTCAAAGATAATAGTCCTATATCTTATTTCAAGTGAGAAACCAGTTGATATATATTGGATCTTGAATACAAGCTAGAAGTCGTTCCATATGAAACCAGAATATCTAGTAATATATATAATCCAAGGATTAAATTTAGACTTGATTGATTTTTGTTTTGTAAACCCATGAATGGGTTTCTTTCCTTTAGGTAATTCTACTAAATCATATCAGGAACAGGGCTTACTTATCTCTTTTCTTTGATTCCTTTAATTCATCTGTTTGTTGCTTCTTTTATGATTTCCCATGAGTCTTGTGATTCCAAGACTTGAATCTGAATACTCCAATGCATTTAGTTTTTGCAATTGAGTTTGTGATGGCAATCGACATGAAGAGAAATTGTCTCTGATATCAATATGTTGGAGAAGATGAGAGTTTTACACAGAAAATAACTAATAAATCTTGTATTATAATCACCAAACGTTTACATACAGAGTTTATACATATTTATAGACAACTAACTGACACAACCCTTCATGGGAGTCGGTTGGTTAATACTTAACATAACTGCCATCTAACTGTCAACAGGTATAACTGCCAACTAACGGATTATAACTATGTACAGGACCTAACTTATAATCTAATACGATAACTTTCTTCATTGAGAAATTAAATATCCTCCTACTTTTTATTCCTAAATATCCTCCTACCCAATTAAATAGTGACATGTGTAACATTTAATGCTCATTTAATGATATTTTAGTATACTAATATGACACATGTTATCATTTAATTAGGTAGGAAGATTTGTAAGAACAAAAGTAGGAGGATATTTAATTTCTCTTCTTCATTATATCAACAGACGCATCGCACCCCTATAACTTTGCACATTATAACCATTAAAGCTTATCTAAGCTTTGCTAAGAAGAAGAAATTACCTTCAATCCATGATGTAGAAGCCTTGATTCATAATCCTTTTGGAAACCCTTGGATAGAGCTTCAATCTCCAGGTCTTGAGCTCTCAAATTCACCCCTAGATAGTGTCAAGAAGTGTGCGGGTGAAATGAGAGGCTAAATTAAGACCTGACATTGCACATGTTACAGGGACTTTTCTGGACCACAAGAATGGCAATGTACTTTACTAAAACTCATTCCCAGGCAGTCTATTTTTAGTGGAAAGTTCAAACAATCATAACTCACTCATACAGACTAGAATTTCAGTGATCTTTATATTCATGGATTCGTATTAGAGTCATCCTTTAGATTACTTTTGCTAAAAGGATTTACGTTTCAATTTATATTCCATGAACATAGGGTGGGACAACTTCCTTTCTCAACAACCAAAGGATATACTATTTTCGAATGAGAGTTGATTCATACACAACAATTTGTACTTTAAAATGTTGGATTGTACAATTTTATAAAACTTAAATTGTTGTGTATGGAGAAATACTATTGTTTACGAATCACTTCCCTTTTTCGAATTGCCCTAACTTCTTTGTCTCAACTCCAAATAAGTTTATTCCTTTTGCCAATTCTTCTTTTTTGTCATGACTTTACACATGGGTGAATAAACCCTTAATTCCATGCAATGGAACCAAGCTTTCACTAGTAACACTCAAGCACATTGCTATAAAAATCAAATACAAGTATTTGTGCTTTGGTTTTGTGTTCCCAACAACTTTTTATGTATCGAATCATACGCAAACAATGTCTTCTGACGTAATTCATATACCATAACCCATTTACAAGTTTACTTCAACTTTATCTTGTTTTGCACCCTATATCAACTTACCTTCTTTTTTTTTTTTGCCAATTATAACAATTTGTTTTGCTATTTCTTTGAGTTCATATTCAAGTGATATTTTTTTTTCATCTGTACACTAATAATTTATATTATAACATTCCTCATTATAGTTTCATCATAAAACATCATGTAATGCATATTGGCAACATTCTTCACATTGTGACAACCGTCAATTTCTAGTCAGGTCAAAGTCAAATAAAGTCAACAAGTCAAACCGGTCAACTCAGCTAACCCTTGTATACTAGGGTTTACGTTATGTAATTACTGTACAACTCGCTATTTTAATAAGAAGTTATCATTTGGAAGGTTCGTATGATTTAAATTCTTAAACCCGAATCGGGGTAAGTGAGGTAGCAAAACGATAAAACACTATTGCATACCCATCGGGGGTGTGTAAGACTCTTAAACATGGCTTAACGGGGTTTACGAACCTTGCGTTGCGAAGCTAAACACTCAAAAAGGTCACAAACAAAGTCTCTTTCAATCTCTCTTTATCAATCTTAATCTCTCCTAAATCTCTCCCAAATCTCTCTCAAAACTAATTTCAACTTTTTATAATCATTTGGGGCATCCCGACACTTAACTTGGTGAAAAACCGCTCAAAACGGGAAGCTTATACGAAAAACAGCCTTAAAGGACCGAAACCTCTCTATTAGAACCGAACCCTCTTAGAGCCGAAGCTCCAAGGACCGAACCCGAAGGTCCCTTAAGGAACCGAACTCTGCTAAGGACCGAAACTACAGGGACCGAAACCGAAGCGTCCCTTTTCGCTCCATTTCGCCTTCGGGTCAAGCCACTTCGGACCGAACCTCCTTTCGGCCCATTTCGCTTTCGGGCCATTTCGCCTTCGGGCCATTTCGCCTTCGGTTCTCACCCTCTCAGGACCGAACTTCGGTCCAATCTGAGGAACTTCGCAGGAAGCTCTATTTCACCCGGTTTTCGACCCCGACTCCGTTTTAAGCTCGTTTTCGATGATTTTCGCACGGGATTTTCGTATAAATCCATATTTTAATATTTTTAAACTTCCAAGATCATAAAATATACACACTCTAAGGATTCTTGTATTTAAAACTCACACTTTTCTTAGAAGCTAAGTCAAGGTACATAAAGTTGCCCATTGACTTTTCCCAAAAGCTATGACACATCCTATTCACTATTCATGCTTTATGCTTTGTGTCACTATTCACATCGGCCCTATCTACTTTTGTACCTTTTACCTTTCCCCACAAGCTTCCTTAACACACACACCCACCAAGAGTCAACCACTCTTACACCTTTCTAAAAATCACCAACTTCACCTTTTAGCAAAATACACTTTTCTCTCTCACTCTTCTCTCCAAAATCTCGAATTCTCCAGGAGTTCTAAGGCTTCTCATCCACCTTTGGTAAGATATTTCATCCCTCACTTGTTTTCCTTACACTTCTTCACTCAAATCATGAGTTCCTTATACAAATATTGTCATATTTGTTGTTAGATCTTCAAATCTTCAAGCTTTTCCCAAGTGTTCTTGACTTGGAGACTCCTTCTCTTCATCATCCATCTACTGAAATCACTCAAGGTGAGTTCATACCCCTATCTTTTCATGTTTTATTAAGTTTTTATGTGGGGGGGGGGGGGGGGGGAATACAAGTTAAAATACCAAGAACACAACTAAACTCAACCAACAGCTTTCATCAGAAAAGTTAAGTCCCATTCACGGACTGTTTTGGCCTTCTTAAACTTTTTATCTTTCAAAAAATGTTTAATATGCAAGTAGTTCAGGTTCATACCTTTAAAATGACTACTTGAACATCTTCATACGATTTTTCTACAATTTATGGTGATTTTTACAAAACAGCCTATCATTTCAAGAACAAGTCCGGACCAGTCTGTGAATATGGACATTTTTACACAAGTTAAAGGTCTTTAAAAATCATAATAAAAATTAGGAACAAACTAGACACATTTTCCAAACTCTCAGAATTTACGGATTCTGATTTCAACTTCAAATGATTTTTCTATGATTTTTCTAAGGACAGGAACAAAAAGGTTAAAACTAGAAAATGGTTAACAATTTCATTTACACCTTGTAACTTGTTGAGCAAGGTGTGTGTGCTATTATATAAATATATGTTGTTATATTACATGTCATCTTACTTGGTAAATAGGCATATGTTAGAACACAAAAGGACTTCCATTGTATACAAACATTATGATAAACTATAATAAGTATAGTTTATGTCCACTACCACTATGACTTTTTGATAAACTATAATAGGTATAGTTTAGGGATCATTTACACTACAAACTCATTTCTAAAGGTTTCATTTATACAAAAGGGGTTTTCATCATAACAAACATTTTGATAAACTATAATAGGTATAGTTTATGTTCAATTCAATACTAAAAAGGGTTTTCAGTCGAAACACGTAAATTCATTAATGGCTAGTTTGTGAGTCATCGCTTCACGGTACTTTTCAAGTAACACATTTAAGTCCTGTATTGTAACCAGAGTCTCTTGTAGGGAGAGCGTGATAGTTGTGTATAGATCTATATTGGGATTGACACCCCACACCTTGTTGTTAGCTGCAGTAGGACCTCGAGGTCTACGGGTGACAAATGTCATACCAGTTCCGACGCCTGAAGAACGTCGTCACAGGCCATCCCGGTCATAGCATGGTTATAATAACTCACATAGAGTATTAACAAAACATAGGATTTACGGGGATTTCATTTACTCAACACAAGTTTTATGTCGATTTAAACTTACCAATACTATTATTAGTATGGAAAACACTAGTACATTTTCGGTCTTCAGTTTTAAGACTACTTTTCATCTAGGATTGTTAGTTTTCAGCTATAATTGCTGAGTGTACATGTTCGGGTTATATAAAATTGAGTCGTAATCGACTTAGAAT